GTATAAATTAAGGACCATAACCGTATATATCAGTTAACCGTCTATTAACATTCATTGTTTCTAATTTAACACGTTACAAAATTAAAAATAATGATTTGATCTCTGTACATAAAATTTCATATTTAATTTAATATATTAAAATTTAAAATATACGTAATTTTATTAGATTATTTTAAACGAACTTAATTAATTTAATAATTTTTTATGCACAATAATTTTTACATATAATTAATTAAAACTTTAGTAATTAAAAAATCATATTTTATAATAAAATTAAAAATAAATGTTAATTTATTTTAAAAAAAATAGTTAAGAATATATACATAATTTATTTATAAATTATACTTTTCTGTATAGATAATAATAAAAAAAACCATTTATAAATAAATATGAAATGCTTTCTTTACAATTTACAAATCATGTTATAATAATAATAATAAATAAATAAATAAAGATAGTGGCCTTGTGCTGCAGTTCAGATCCTGTCAAAGAAAAAAGATTTGTGGGTCGTCTACAAAATCTCCCATATCTTTTATTTAATAAAAAATATAATAAGTTAGATTTATTAGTTCGTTTGTATTTATTATAATAATTTTTTTTTCAAATATTTTATATTTATTAAGATAAATTTTAATTTAATTATCGTAATTTTATTTATATAATATTATACTATTAAATTATTTAAAATTAAATATTATAAGTCGGTTATTGTTAATCCATAATAAACGTATATTTAAATTAAATATAATAATTTTCGTTGTTAAACTATTATCTCGGTAGCAACATGTTTTTTATAATCTTGAATTCTAGTAACTATTTTGAGAGTGAAAACACTTTAATAATATATTACTATTTAGTCTAATAATATTATTCGAGAAGTTTAAAAAAAAAAAATATTACCGATAGTAATTTAGTACGAACATTAGTATATACCCATTAATTAATTGTTCTCAATATACATCAATTTGATCATTAATTAATTTTTTAGTTCAATGTTATTATCTCTTACTTTATGTATCTGAAAATGTATATATATATATGTATCATAAAATGGAAAAATGAGGCACAATAACTAATAGGCATGCTAATTTTAGGTGAAAACTAATATGTGTAGGTGGGTAAATTGAATTTTTGTGGGAGTTTGGTGAACAACATGTGATATATATATATATATGTTATTAGTAATTTGATATATATATATAGTGTCTTTGGTATAATAATATATAAACATAAATACATGAACAATTCTAAGTTTTATCTTATATGATCATTCCCATTGTCAAATTAGTATAAAATGATGTAAGAAATATAAGAGTTTTATATTCTATTAATAAATTGCTATCATCTATTTGTATAAAATAATTAGTAATAATTTGATTTTTACGATAATTTCTTTTTAATCAATGACATATAAGAAATATCAAGATAATGATATAATCATATAATATATATATTTTTTGAAATAAGTATAACCATATAATATATGGTACTAAAGAGATTAGGATAAGAGACTTTTTGTAAGTGTCAAATAATAAAAATACTTAGCTAAATTTCACCGAAGATATATTTTTATAATTATATACGAGATCGAGTTTTTTGTTATTATAAATAATTTTATATAATTATTATAAATAATAATTTTATAATAGTATTATACAGGAACTCGGTTATATATTACTGTAAGATTATGTTACGATTAAAAGTATAATTAAAAAATTATTCTTAAAATTGTATTTACAAATTTGGATTTCTAGCAAGTTACTAATAGAAATTCAAAGTAAAATCTCTAAGGTCACATTAATTAATTGTTCTTAATATGCAATTTAATAATAATAACAACAATTATAAAAATTACTAATTATCATTATAGAATAAATAAAAATATCATATAATTTTCACTTTAAATTTATCTTGAAAATTATAAGGAAACAAATTTTATTTAACTTTATTTTTTCCAAAAATACATGTTTTCATGAATATTTTATTAACATATGTATATATATATATATACACAAAATAAATGTTAAATTATTTTATAATATTCATGTTATTTTTATTATGTGATGATTAACGTAAGGTTAAAAATTGAATTTATATAAATTTGGAACAATATATTTAAAATTTTAACATAATGAAATTTAATATTTATTCAAATTTTATATTCTCTTGATTTACACTTCTTGTAATTAAATTATGTATTTATTATTGAATTATATAAAAATTCTAAATTTAATTTCAGATAGAGCTAAAAAATTCAAAGTTATATATATATATATATATATATATATATATATATATATAAAGAGAGAAAAAAATAATTAAAAAAACAATAAAATAAAAATATGGAAATCCAAGCCCATTGTAAAGCCTGAATTTTCAGCCCAAAAAGATTTCTCTCTCTCTCCCTCTCC